AAAAAAAAAAAAGAGAAAAGAAAAGAAAAAAAGAAAATGTCCCAGAAATTCTGACATCTAGTCTTATTATTTCCCAGACTTCCTTGCCCACCCAGAAGGGGCACATATTTTTGTTTCCAGTTGGATCCTATGTCCTGATGTGTGAATTTTGTCAAGATGGCCCTCCTATACAGCGAGGTAGCTGGGAGGAGCCTGTGTTCTTGGGATGCGAGATTAGGAAGGAAAGATCAACGTAGGAGTATCCGTCACAAGGAGGAAGCACGTTCCATGGAAACGTAGGCGCACTCAAACCCACGTGGCCCCTTGTCTTGACCCCTTTCTGGCTTCCTGTAATCAGCACTTCCAACTGATCGCTAGCTGATTTCTATGACAGACAGGGCTGCCCCAGCCCTGCTCAAGGACAGCAAGACACCTGACTAGGCACCTGGAAGACTCCAGGGACTGCTACCCTGGGCTGGCCTCTTCCCCTTAGCATCTCAGCTGGTACCCTGTCAGATGATGACCCACCCCCTGCCCCAGGGCCCTGGGCTGTCACCCTTCCTCACTCCTGCCCCGCCCGACAGCTGAGACTTTCCATAGGAGACACGGAAGAGGACTGGAAGGTTCCCTGTCACCATGGCAACAGGGCCAGTCCGACCAGACCCAAGGGAATGGAACACTCATTAGTGCTGTGTTCATTTTGTGACTGATGGTCACATCCACACACACATTTCCACTTTCCAGAAGAGGACCCTGAGGCCCAGAGCAAGGAGAGGGCTCACTCCGCTCATACAGCAAGAGAACAGCAAAGCCCAGGAGAAGACAAAGGCACTTTAAAAGACCCTTCACCCACCAAATTCCCTCCTGCCTCAGGGCCTCTGCACCGCCCCTCAGACTTCACCTCCCCCTGGCCAGCTCCATGCTGTCATTCAGGTTTCAGCTGAAATGTCACCCCTTCAGAGAAGCCATCCTGAGCACCCTATGAAAAGCTGCCCCTCGGCCAGGCACAGTGGCTCACACCTGTAATCCTGGCACTTTGGGAGGTCGAGGCGGGCAGATCACCTGAGGTCAGGTGTTCGAGACCAGCCTGAACAACATGGCAAAACCCTGTCTCTACTAAAAATACAAAAATTAGCCAGGCATCGTGGTGCGTGCCTGTAATCCCAGCTACTCAGGAGGCTGAGGCTGAGGCAGGAGAATGGCTTGAACCTGGGAGGTAGAAGTTGCAGTGAGCTGAGATTGCACCACTGCACTCCAGCCTGGTGACCGAGTGAGACTCTGTTTCAAAACAAACAAAAAAGCTGCCCCTCCTCACCCCTCCACCATGCTTCACATGAGAGCGCATGTGTCTGCCCGACATCAGACATCGTATCTTCATTATGTGTGCTCCCCACACCGGGATGGAAGCTTCGTGCAGGCTCAAAACCTTATGTCTCAGCACTTTCCGTGTGACATGGACAAGGCTAAACACTCTACATACGTATTAACTCATTTAATCCTCATAACCACATTCCGAGGGAGGTACTATCTTTATCCCTGTTTTACAGATTAGGAAACTGAGGCACGAGAGGTTAAGTGGCCCGCCAACATCACCCAGCTGAGAAATGGAGAAGCCAGCGTTCACACCCAGGCAACTGGGTTCCAGAATCTGCCTGGCACTTAGTAGGCACTCAATGAACGAACAAATGAATGAATGAATGATGCTGGAGCC